CGTTGCAGTAGTCCAGTCTTGAGGTCACAAGGGCCTCACAAGTGACTGTTGCAAGAGCCTCCCGGTTCAGGTAGGGATGCAATTGGTGCACCAGGCGAACCTGGGCAAATGCCCCCCTGGTCACAGCCGACAAATGATGTTCTAAAGTCAGCTGTGGGTCCAGGAGGACTCCCAAATTGCGAACCCTGTCTGAGGGGCGTATAATTTCACCCCCCAGCCTGAGAGATGGAATACATGGCCAATTATTGGGAGGGAAAAACACAAGCCACTCGGTCTTGTCTGGATTGAGTGCAAGCTTTCAGAGCCGACTCATAGGGTCCCTCGCTATCGGAGTCCATCGGCATCTCCAACCGCTCCTGCTGGGCCACAACAGGGTAGGGAGAAGCAGCCCAGCCACTCCGTGGCTCTCGGAGCCATGTCCGATCCAGGCATCGGCCCCGGTTGCCTCTGCAGAGCACCAGCCGCCAATCGCCATTCCCTCGAGGGAGACGACTCCCACGTGTGTCCTGTAACTCAGGCACACTTCGCGGAGCGAAGCAGGCAGGCAGACCGGCAGCATCGCTCCACAGCCAAAGCCACCTGGGATCCTGGAATTTGATCGCGTCTTGCCACTCAATGCCTTGCCCTGCCAAGGCACATGTGGGATCAGAGGACCTTCAACGCCCAGAGCCTCTGTCCAAGAATTCAGTCACGCCCTGGACGCCTCAGCAGGTTTCTAGGTTCAGAGGAACCGCGTGGGTGGTTTAAGCACAGCATTGTTCCAGCTGGGCAGGCGGCGAGTGATTTTTCCCCTGCCACAGAGTCTCTCAGCCCTGAATTTTGGCCTCAATGGATCTAAGTCGCATCACTCTAGAGCAGGGCTGCTACATGGCGTTTAGGCCCAGCAGAGATTCCAAGATGGCAGACTGCACTACCAGGGAATTCCCTGAGGCTGGCCCTTCCAACACCCACCCCAAGGAGGCCAGATCAGTGAAGGCTATCTCCAGGGCAGCCAAATGCAAGGGTTCCACTTCCAGAGCTGGCTCCACCACCTCAAATAGGGAGGCCCAGCGTTGCCAGAAAGACCTGGAGAAACAGTTTGCCAAGGCACAGCGAGCTTCGATGGTAGACACCGAAGTTAGGGAGGCCTCCCTTACTCCTCAGCCCGCCTCCACTCACTCGGTTTTTCCTTCCCAATCGAGGGAGAACGTGAGACAAGATTGGTCCCTAGAGGACTTCATTGATTCTCCTTCCATTCAGGCTGCATGCTTTGAAGAAGAATTTGCCCCCTTTGATTGTCTGACATTACCAGGGGCAGGGACCTCAGATAGAGTTAGAGAACCGGTGCCTGAAGCAGCCTTTACTTCCATCACAGTTGGTCTCCGCCCAGAGAAAGGTCATGGTCCGGCCCTCACCCCTGAAATGCGCTCTTATATCGCACAGGTCATTTCCCAGGGCATTGAGTCTGCTCTTTCTGGCAGGAGTCATTTATGCCCTTCTCAGCTGGAACAGCCCCCACCCACCCACCCACCCAACCTTCAGACCCAGTTAGAGGCGAACCTGCTTTCACTCAGAGACCATTGTTTTCCCCCTCTGTCCCTGCATAGTGAGGATTCTTTGGTGGGGGAGGGGGACCAGGAGGATGAGGAGTTGTCTGAGGATGATTGCCTGGCTCCGGACAAGCCCACTTTCACTGGCCTATTTAGACCAGCCTTGTTCAAGTCACTGCTCTTCAAGGCCAAGTCAATGGCCTATGTGGGGGTTTCACACAAGGCTACAGACAGTTCCCTGGCTCTGCAGGATCCCAGTGAGTGTCTGTTCAGGGAATCTACAGCGGAGCAGGACATCATCCCGGCCCCGCAGCTGTTCATTGACGTTGTTCAACGCCAATGGAACCAACCAGGTTTAGTTTCAGCTCCCAGCGGCAGCGATAGAAGACTTTATACCACTGCCCCTGAGCTAGAGGAGCTACTGCAATGGCCTAAGGTGGACACTCTGGAAGCTTCCCTGGCCTCTTTAGCCGTCCTTCCATCTGAATTGTCGGAAGGCCTGAAGGCGGAGGCCTCCTTCTGCAAGGCCCATGTAGCAGCTTCCTGGGCTATCAAGGCAGCTACGGCTGCCTCCTTCTTTAATAGGACCTCTTTCCTCTGGCTTCGCCAGCTTCAGGCCAGGGTTCGTTCTGAGGACACCAGGTTACGTCAGGATATCAACAAACTGGCTGCAGCCACTGAATATTCGGCAGACACCACCCTGAGCGCAGTCAAGTTTGCGTCCAGGGCCCTGGCATCTAATGTAACTTCCCGCCGCCTTGCGTGTTTCCGTCACTGGCAGGTGGATATGAGATCCAAATGGCATCTTGCCTCTGCTCCCTTCAAGGGAGGCAGCCTCTTTGGGGAGTCCCTTGACCCCATTTTGGTGGAGGATAAGGATAAATGGAAGGTTTTGCCTTTCTCCTACAGGAGAACCGACAGAAGGCCTTATTTTTGTGGGCAGTCCTTTTGGCCCATGGACTCTGGCTTCCGTTCTCCCCAGTTCCAGCGCCAGTATCCCCAGGGGGGTGACTACTCTCAGGACAGGCAGTCCTTTCGTGACAGGGGTAGACAGCAACCCTACTTCCAAAGGCCATTTCACGGGTCCAGTAGTAGACCCTATTGCAGGAGCAAGTGACTCCCTTCACAGTCCTCCCATTGGTGGCCAGTTACATCTTTTTGCCGACCAATGGGAGGCAATGACCACGGACGCTTGGGTCAGGCAGACAGGTTGGGTCTCACCCTAGAGTTCGTTTCCAGGCCCCCGAGGTGTTTCCTTCAGTGCCCTACTCCCACTTCTCCTTCCAAAAGGGAACTTCTAGAGGTCGAGATTCAACATCTCTTAACCATCAGATTGCTCAAGCCAGTTACACCAGAGCAGGGGAGCCTAGGGTTCTACTCCATCCTGTTCCTAGTCCCAAGGAGTTCAGGGGGTGGGGGTGGAGAGCTATCCTGGACCTGAAGAAGCTTAACGTTCACATAGCATACAAGTCCTTCAAAATGCAATCCCTCCAATCCATCTTGGGTTGCATCCAAGAGGGAGATTTACTAACATCAATTGACCTCAAAGAGGCGTACCTCCACATCCCCATCCATCCTTCGCACAGGAGGTTCCTGGGGTTTTGCTACGAGGGGCACCATTTCCAGTACATAGCTCTTCCCTTCAGCCTCTCCTCAGCTCCCAGGACCTTCACCAAGCTTCTAGCAGCTGTCGCCACAGATCTCAGGTCCAGACCCGTGAGGATACAGTGCTAGCTGGATGACATCCTCATACAGTTGTCATCCACTTGGCAGGCACAGCAAGACCTATGCATCATGCTCCGGTCCCTGCAGAAGCATGGATTCTCTGTTAACTGGGAGAAGAGCACTCTGACTCCATCAACCAGCCTGCTCCACCTAGGAGCCATCATAGACACCATACCAGGTCTTCCTTTCTCCCAAGCGTCGCTCCAGCATAAGGTCAATGGTGAACCAAATCCGGTTACTAAGGTCAGCGCCATTGATTCTTCTTTCCCAGCTTTTAGGGAAAATGATCTCATGCATCGCGATCGTCCCTTGGGTGCGATTGTACGCCAGGACATTGCAATGGTTCCTGTTACCACATCAGAGATCCAGCAGGGCCAGCTCCACCCCCCCCCCCAATCAGGGTACCTCAAAAGGTCGTTCGCTCCCTTCTCTGGTGGACGTCTCCGGCCTTGGAGAAGGATGCCTCTTCAAGGAGCCCAACCGTGTGTCTATAACATCAGACACCAGCCTCTTCGGCTGGGGCGCCCACAGCCAGTTCCACATGGCTCGGGGGAGGTGGTCCCAGGAGGAGCTGGAGAACAATATCAACTGGCTGGAGCTCAGGGCAGCCCATCTGGCCCTCCGGCGGTTCCAGCCCAGGATCGAAGGTCAGCATGTGCTCTTATTGACAGACAACGTGGCGGCAAAGGCACATGTGAACCATCAAGGGGGCACCTGATCCAAAGCTCTCATGCACGAAGAGGAGAAGCTAGGACTTTGGGCGGAGCACAACCTCCTCTCCATAAGGGCAGAACACACCTCCGGCGCAGCCAATACCCAGGTGGACTGGCTCAGCAGATTGACCATGGATCATTCTGAATGGCAACTTCATCCGGACTTGTTCCAGAGTCTGTCGGAGAGGTTCGGCCAGCCGATAGTGGACCTCTTTGCCACTCCGCAGAACTGTCACCTTCCAAGAGTCTTCTCCAGGTTCCAGACACCAGGGGCAGAAGGCATCAATGCTCTCCACAGCCCTTGGCCACAAGGGCTCCTGTACACCTTTCTTCCACTTTCCCTCATCCTGAAGGTCATCAGGAAGGTGCTCATGGAGGGGGCTGGTATTTTCCTTGTCATGCCCCACTGGCCCAGACGCCCCTGGTATGCGGACCTGGTCAGCCTCGCGATGTCTCACCCCAGGAGAATTCCCCAGGACAGGGTGTCTCTCAGCCAGGGGTCACTAATCCACCCAGACCCTCAGTGGCTCCAGTTGACTGTTTGGCACTTGAGAGGGACATCTTGAGATGGGGTGAGTTCTCTGGGAGGGTCATCCAGACTATTCAGGCATCCAGATGCCAATCAACCAATCGGATTTACAACGCAAACTGGGTCACCTTCTGCAGGTGATGCGTCAGGAGTCACGTTGACCCACTTTCAGTGTCAATTCCGCAGCTCCTGGACTTCCTTCAGGACGGCCTAGACAGGGGTCTAGCTCCCAACAACGTTGGGCGGCAGGCATCAGCCTTGTGCATGATTTTGACCAGCGATGACAAACATCCCATTTCGCATCATCCGAGACTACGCAGCTTCCTGAAGGGCGCAGCAAACTTGAGCCCCCCCCCCCCCCCCGGTGGTTCATCGTTATCCCACATGGGATTTTTCCATTGTCCTACAGGAGCTCACCTTGGCTCCGTTTGAGCCCCAGCATTCTGTCAGTCTTCGATTACTTACCTTTAAGCTGGCCTTCCTCGTGGCTGTGACTTCGTCCAGAAGGATTTCAGCGGTGGGAGCCCTGTTTATTTGGGAGGATCTGTGCATCTTCAGACTCAGTACGGTTACTCTATATCTCGGCCCATCATTCGTCCCAAAGGTGAACTCATGGTTTCACCCAGCTCAAGAGATAGTTTTGCCAGACTTTTGCCTGAGACCTACCTGCCACCTCGAAAGCCAGTGGCATACCTTAGATGTTCGGAGGGCCCTCCATCGTTATATCAAGAGGACAGCATCTTTCAGGCGGACGGAGTCACTCTTCATTTCACTCCAGCCAGCATCCATGGGTCAAAGGGTGACTCCATCTACTATCGGGCGCTGGCTGAGGGCTTGCACAGCGTTAGCTTACGAACAACAAGCTCGTCCTGTTCCAAGACATATTACAGCCCATTCAACTTGCATTGCGGCTACATCAGCAGCTTGGGCCACTCAGGCCTCAGTTGAAGAGATTTGCAGGGTGGCTACCTGGGCTTCACTGTCGCCGTTCATCAGGAATTACAAGCTGGACTTATTTGCCTTGGCAGAAGCCTCCTTTGGTCAGCGAGTGCTTCAGAAGGTTCGTTCTTTGGAGCAGCCCCTAAACCAGTCAACTTCCCGCCCTTGAGACTCTAAGCTTGGGTATATCCCATGCTTGGATTCTTCAAGCAGTGCACAGGAAAAAGACCATTGGTCCTACCTGAACGGTTGTTCTCTGTGCACTGTGGGAGAATCCAACCCACCTTGAGTGACGTTGGTCCAGTGTTGGGGTGAGATGGACATCTTTATGGTCAGCGTCTTTGGAGTCCACGCCTTCATAGAAAGAACTGGAGATAGTCGAGTGGAGGAGGCGTGGCCAAAAGTTTCTTCTCAGTCTCTAGGCAACCAGACAGAAGTTAACCCATGCTTGGATTCTCCTGCAGCGCACAGAAAACAACCGTTCAGGTAGGACCAACAGTCTTTTTCAGACTTATTCTAGCTTTTTTCCCTTGCCAAATATATATTTATTTAATTCCTCAAAATATTTTTTCCAGCTTTATTGGTATTGTTTGGAACAAATATACTAATCTCGGCAAGATATTCATTTTTATAGTAGTTATTCTTCCTATCAAGGATAGTTGTAGGTTTCTCCACTTCTCCAAGTCTGATTTGATTTGTTACAGTAATTTAATGTAATTACCTTCTTTAATATTTGCACATTTTGCTGTTAATTGAATTCCTAGATATTTCACTTTCTTGACTATCTGGATATCTCTTCTTCATTAAGTCATTTTTCTGGTTATCTGTAAGATTTTAAACTAACATTTTAGTTTTCTCTTTATTTTCAATCCTGCAACTTCGCCATAATCTATTTTTTTTATTAATTTGGGTACAGTTTCTTGTGGTTCTTCTAGAATAAATACCAGGTCATCTGCGAACGCCTGTAATTTATATTTTTCTTTTTTTATTTCCATACCTTTTATTTCTATATTTTGTCTGATGTTGCTATTTAGCACTTCCAACGTCAATACAAATAGTACAGGGGACAATGGGCATCCTTGCCTTGTGCCCTTTTTTATATTGAATTTTTCTGCCATGTCACCATTTACAATCACCTTTGCAGTCTGTTTGGAGTATATTGCTTAATCATTGGTAAATCTTTCACTTAAAACTTTGACTTTTGGAACTTTAAAAAAAGAAAGGATTTGGACATTTCAGAGACTCAGAAGCAAAAGAAGAGAAACAAAGTAAGGGCAACACCTACTGGTGGGGAAGGACGCCAGGAAAGTGAAAAGACCTTGACTGTCTACTGCTAAGATTGTTTTTGTTACAAGTAACACCTGAAAATTGTTTATACTGGACAGTTGGAAGCAGACAGTGAAAACATTGAAACTCTGTGAACATTGTACCTCTCTGAACCTTATAAATATACTGAGTAGTTTGAAGCAGTTTGAAGTTGGGAAACAGCATGGATTTATCCTGAGACTAAGTGGAAGGTTTCTTGATCTGCAAGACACTGTGGTTTATAAAATATTAGGGATTTGGTGGGCCCTTGTGGATTACAATTATTATTTTCTAAAAGAAGAAATAACAGCTGTTCTTAAAGAGGCTTCCTGGACTAACTTATAGACTGACTTTGTGGATTACAATAGTAAAGAACTGTGAAGCTGGCTGGTGCCTGAGGGGGGAAAAGGACCCTTTGGTGAATCTATCTTGGTCATATTCTAAAAGTGGGAAGAGGAGTTGGCTGGGGATTTTGGATTATTTTGGTATTACTGTGAATCATTGCTGTTTATCCTTTTTAAATGTACTAATATGGTTTAAAATGACAAGTACTTCAAATTTAACTAAAATAGGGAGGAAAAACACATCTGCACTATCAGCAGCAGCATCCAGTCCAGCAAGCCAAAGACCAATAGATAGTCTGCTTCAGCAAAAGAAAATGAATACAATCCAAACAGAAATGAAGATCATATTTCAATTGCTACAAGAAGCTTTGACAAAAAACCATAATGGGATGAAGAATGAGATGGGAGAGATGAAGGAGAAAATACAAAATATGGATGAAAAAATAGGAAACTTTCAGCAAATGATAGTTAAAAATGAACAAAATATTAAGATAATAGAAGAGAAATAAGAACAAGCAGAGAAAAAGGTGGATGGAATGAATCAAAGAGGGTACAGTAATTACTCTGGAGATGGAGAAGGCTGAATATTTCCTGAGATTCAGAACATTGAAGAAGAAAAAGGGGAAGATCTGCCGATATGATGGCAGAGATTTTGGCAGATGCCTTGGAGATAAATAAGCAGGAGATGCAGGCCAAGATGGAGGAAGCATTTAGAATACATACGAGCTATGTGAGAAGGAATAAACTCCCAAGAGAAGTACATGTGAGGTTTGTTTAAAAGACAGTAAGAGCTGAAAGAGCTTTTAAAAAAAGCAAGAGATGAACCATTGAAATACAAAGGGAAAGAAATTATGGTCCTGAAACAGATAGCAAGAAGAGTAAGAGACCTACAGAAGCAGTATCAATTTCTGACAGGACAGTTGATTAAATATAGCATAAACTTTAGATGGTGGACACCTGAGGGAATGCTAGTTACTTGGAATGATAAAAGATACAGATTAGAGTCTTTAAATAAAGCATATGATTTTTACGACCACCACTTCAGTCCATATGAGGAACAAGAGAGGAGAGAGGAAATAGAAAGTAAAGGACAAGAAGAATTAACAGGAGGGGGAAACACACAACAAGAAGAAAGTGAAACCGAAAAAAAAGAATGCGCAGAATGAGAAGGAGCAAGAGCAATGGAACAGAGAGAAATAAGATCAACTAGAACTACAAGACTGATTTATAAGTGAAGCAATGGAGGAACTAAAGTTATTGTCAATTAACATAAATGGATTGAATTCACCTATGAAAAGGAAAAGAACTTTTACTAAATTACAAAAACTAAAACTAGATTTGATTTGTCTACAAGAGGTTCACATTAAAAAACAACAAAACAAATTACTGGAACACCCTAAAATTGGGAAACTTTATTTTTCATTAGCACAACAAAAGAAAAGAGGGGTGGTTTTATATATTAAAGAGACAACAAATGCCAGACAAATTTATACTGAAAAAGACTGGAGAATTTTGATAGTGGAGGTAACAATAAACCACAAACATACACTTTTGATAGCAGTATATGCACCAAATAATAAACAAGAATTTTATGAAAATCTCCATAAGAAAATTATAGGAATGGACTATGAAAATATTTGTGTGGTAGGGGACTTCAATGCAATTGTAGACGCAAAACTTGACTATAGAAGTAGTAAAGTAGACAAAAAGGCAAGAAAAACTCTTACAAAAACTTTCTTTAAAATGGCGGAAGAAGTATGTATTCAAGATATATGGAGAGAAATAAACCCTAAGAAAAATCAATGTACATTTTATTCAAATAGACACCAATCTTGATCAAGAATAGATATGAAATGGATGTCACCAGAGTTAAGAGCAAACATGCAAGAGATAGAAATAGAATCGAACATATGGGTGGACCATAATCCAGTAAAAGTTAAGTGGAAAGGACAAAAGAAAAAACTGAGATGGATGTTGAACCAATCCATATCAAAGGACAAAGAATTTACACAAACAGTGGAAAAAGAAATGGATTTCTTTTTTAAAGAGAATAGAAAAGAAGAGACTTCATTACAAAATCTATGGGATACAGCTAAGGTGTATTTCCGGGGACTTGCCATAACGTATATAGGAAGAAAAAACAAGAAAAAGAAACAATATCAAAAGACACTAGAAGAACACAAAAGATTAGAATTAGGAGAAAGAACCACAAAAAAAAGAACCTAAAAAAGCAAATGAAACTAATAAAACACAAATTGAATCTGATGGAAAAAGAAGAATTGGCACAAAAAATTAAAAGGAATTTTTTCAAGAAGTTTCCTAGCTGAATAGTAATCCCTCTTCAGTGATGCCTTTACAAGTTATAGAGATGTTATGAAGCACAGCACTCAGAGGAGGTATTTTTGAGACAGTTGAGACAATTTAGTAGTGGAAAACAAAAATAATGCAACTATCCACATGTATATGTGCTGATACAGTTTTGAGCCACAGGTGTTTAGTGGTAGATTTCCCTTTGAAAATTCCCTTGAAATTAGTTTGCAATTATTGAAATGCACATAGACATGCTTAGCTAATATAGTAACCTGGATCCACCAGGATGTGAACTGGCCCATCTTGTGTAATGCCAGCAGGTGATGGAACTCATGTAAAATGATCATCCAAAGAGAACAAATAGAGATTCTTGAATTAAACCTCACCTAGTAAATCTTTACCCATTATGAAACCCAAATTGACTTTTCTTATTAGTGCAATGAAAACCCCAAGAAACTTTATTGATTAGTCGTCTGACCATATCAATATAAAAACAATAAAGAGAAAGCAGTAGGATATATTCATAACAAATCACTAATACAGTTAACCCCAATCTGTTCTAGGTTGTCTGTTCTCTTTGAAATGGCCTTTGATATAAAAATTGCACCCTTGCTAGCAATATATATGCATGTTTTTCCCTGCAAGACATAAGGTATCCCAGTATTTTTTTTAGTTTTTAAATAAGGATGTAAATTAAACAGCCCTTTCTGCAGAATACAGTTTTCAATCAAACAGGAGAAGTGGAATGCACCAGCTGTCTTCAACAGCTGGTGCATCACGGATGCACAGTCTTTCTTCAATAGCAATAGCAATAGCAATAGCAGTTAGACTTATATACCGCTTCATAGGGCTTTCAGCCCTCTCTAAGCGGTTTACAGAGTCAGCATATTGCTCCCACAATCTGGGTCCTCATTTCACCCACCTCGGAAGGATGGAAGGCTGAGTCAACCCTGAGCCGGTGAGATTTGAACCGCTGAACTGCTGAACTAGCAGTCAGCTGAAGTGGCCTGCAGTACTGCACTCTACCCACTGTGCCACCTCGGCTCTTCAAATGGAGCTCCATGGAACCTCCTATATCTTGTTCAAAATGTGCTCTACAGAAAGCTCTTCCATCATGAAACTCCTGGATCCATGCCTCAACACATACTTCAAGTTCAATGGGAAAATCTATAACCAAATGCAAGGTACCCCAATGGGATCAAGCCTAATAGCAGAAGCAGTCATGCAGTGAGTCAAATCCATAGCTCTACCCACCATCCACCCAAAATTCTGGACACGCTACATCGATGACACCTTCGTCATCAAATGCTGTCAAATTGAAGACACACTCCATCTACTCAATAAATAAATATTCCCTGGGATCAAATTCACACAGGAAGAGGAAACGGACAACAGTCTCCCTTTCCTCGATGTTGATAATAAGGACACTAGACAACGGAGAACTAGAAAACTGTGTCTACCGCAAACCCACATACATGGACCAGATCCTCAGCTTCACAAGCAACCACCCAACTGCACACAAAAGAAGCTGTGTTAGACCCTGTTCAGAAGGGCCAGGACACACTGCAGCACCACAACACTAAGAAAAGTAGAAGAGAAATGACTACTCAAAATCTTTCTCCATAACGGCTATGCAAAAACTTCATACAGCACCCAAACCACAACACACCACACAGCCAACCACTATGCAAAAACTAACCCAACCATACACAAAAGGGGTTTCGGAAATGACAGCCAGAATCCTCCAACCCCTAGGAATAACAATAACCCACAAACCCACAGCCACACTCCACCAGGAATTATTCAGAACCAAAGACAAAATACAGAAGGATGAAAGAAACAATGTAATCTACAAAATCAACTGTAACCATTGCAACCAATTCTATGTGGGACAAATATCACGTCAATTAAAAAACAGGATCCACAAACACCAGCTGGCAGACAAATGCCACGATCCCAAATACTTAATCTCTACCCACACAGACACCAAACAGCATCAGTTCAATTGGAGCAACACAAAAATCATCAGCCACACTACCACCCACCACGCTCATAAGTTAATTGAAGCATGGCACTCCACAAGCAATTCTATCAACTGTCATGGCCTCGTCAGAGCCTGGGTCCAAGGAGGAGGACAAGATAGAGCCAGGGCCGATGGAGGAGGATGGCATGGCCTCACTGGCCCCAGAGGAACGACCAAAGGAGCAGGACAAGGCAGCCCGGGTCCCTCGGGTCTTGAAAGTGTGAGATAAAAACCCAATTATTAAATCCTCACAACACAGAGACAAGTCTGGTTCACAATTCAAAAAGGTTTATTTACAGAAAAATAAAAAGCATTTGCAAAGGCGACTTCCAAGACTCTTCTCAAGTGGATTGAGTACAAGGAGAGCAAAGAATAGCATTCAAACAATACATTTTATACACTCTACTCCTCAGAAAGTCCCAACCCTTCCTGGTCATTCATTTACATCATTTCTTTCATCATCCCATACTGTAAAGGGTCAAGCTGACATTTTCTTGAGAGGCCCCGATCTCTTATTTGGTTTTTCTGGTGCCTTTTGTCTGAGCAGATGGCTTCCCATCTAACTTG